GGAACTTTAGTGATCAATATTCTGCACATTAATTATTATTTTCAATTGAAAATTACTGTTCTGCACATCAATGGTTACTGTTTTATTTTCTCCATGTATAAAGCGTAACGCGTAACGCAGAGGGGGTCATTCAAATAACTCAAAATAAAAATTTAAAAATCCCTTGTGGAAATTTTTCTCTGAGAAAGTTTTAATAAGAGTTTTTAAAGTCTTACTTTCTCTTAAAAAGTCTGAATTATACTTATTTAGTCGGAAAAAGTCAGAATAAGTCTTAGTAAGGCACAATATAGGTAAACAAACTTTATTTTAGTTGAACAGAATAAAACAGTTGGGAGATACGTAAAGTGACCAGTGTTGCCATCTTGGAGAATTTTTCACCATTTCTGGTGATTTTTTGTTCTTGGTTGAGAGTTTTTAGTTAGATAGCGACCAGTCTCAATCCTGGAGAATTTAAAGATGCATCGGAGAGTTTTTAGCAAATTTTAAGTAATTAAAATACAGAATAAAAAATATTGAAAGTTGGGTTGGGTGCGTTGTACTAGTGATTTTTTAAGAAGAATTTGACCGGTCAGAACTTTGATACACTCCATCCTCATATTTTAAAAATGTGACTCCTCCATCCATTAAAGTTATCAGAGACTCTGTGAAGTTATTACCGGTTACAGTTATGCTGTAAGGACTACCTCCTCCCTGATAATGTATTAAAACAAATAGGTACCAAAAATATATATAAAATATATAACAATGAGACTGATGAAACAATAGATGATATAATTGAATATATTGGTACTATCTAAACCCTTCTACAGTTTATCCTAAAATGTGCCCGTCAAACTTTGTATATAGAAAAATAGACTTATTCTGATCTGCACCTATATACATGACGTTAGCAAAGTTTGGCCAGCTACTTTTGGGACATCCTGTATAGCTATATTTTTTTCTTATTTCCATGTTAAAAGAAAATGTTTATTATATAAAAAGCTTTAAACTTTAAAGTTTAAAGCCTTATATTACAAATTATTAAAAGTATTGGAGAGTTTTTTTTTTGGCAAAGTTGGAGAATTCTGGTGAATTTTTGTTTAGGTTTTTGAGAATTTTATCATTTTACTGTTGGCAACACTGAAAGTGACCACATCAAAAATGTCAAAATCCGGGACAAAGCCAAAAAAAATGCCGAAAGCGGAAAAGTCCGCGGCAGGCGCATTTTCCCGATACGAAGGCGAAAATTATTTTGAAAAAAAGGTAGAAGGGGGAAAAGGGGGAGGGGGAGGTCAAGAAAACAAAATGGTTTACATAATTCATTATTTAAATAATTTAATATGCACATCATTCCATAATGCAGAATTTTTTATATAATGCAGAATTTTTTATTTATAAAAATATATTTCGAACAAGGGATGGGGGTATCTGAAAATAAGGTAGGTTTTTAAACACATTTATTTTTTTTACAAATATACAACTTTATTACAATAATAGTTAAAAGGTAGACCCACTTTGTTTTGTTTGCCGCCTACAAAAAAACCAAAATAAAAACAAAACTAAGTACCAAGTAAATTAAAACAATAATAAAAAGGCAGAATTTCCAATGGTATACGAATCAGTTAAAAAAAATGCCGAAAGCGGAAAATTCCGCGGCAGGCGCATTTTCCCGATACGAAGGCGAAAATTATTTTGAAAAAAAGGTGGAAGGGGGAAAGGGGGAGGGGGAGGTCAAGAAAACAAAATGGTTTACATAATTCATTATTTAAATAATTTAATATGCACATCATTCCATAATGCAGAATTTTTTATATAATGCAGAATTTTTTATTTATAAAAATATATTTCGAACAAGGGATGGGGGTATTTGAAAATAAGGTAGGTTTCTAAACACATTTATTTTTTTACAAATATACAACTTTATTACAATAATAGTTAAAAGGTAGACCCACTTTGTTTTGTTTGCCGCCTACAAAAAAACCAAAATAAAAACAACACTAAGTACCAAGTAAATTAAAACAATAATAAAAAGGCAGAATTTCCAATGGTATACGAATCAGTTAAAACAAAACAGCAGCAACAAACTGCTGTAGAGCGCAGATAGTCAGCGCAATATCAGACTGTTTGTTCTATGCTGAGCATAGTATGCTCACAACATAAAGTATGGTACGGAAAGCGACCGTCGCACACTGTGGTATTTGGACCTAAAACGTGGCCAAAAATCAATTTTGTTAATTTTTATTGCCAGATCTAAGATTTTGTTTTAAAGAAGTTAGATAACATGGCTATTTTTTGGTGTAGTTGAAACTTGAATTGGCCATCCCAGTCCGATGTACCAGCAGCTAGAACCTAGCGCTCTTTTACATCGTAGGTCTTCGTTCGCGACAATCCACAAGAAAACAAATTTTTGCCGTGTTGTTTCTTATGTTAAAAGACATTTTGGTGAAAGAAATTAATATGGATGTCGTCAATTAAGGTATGTACAATATTTTAGGCAATATTTCATTTGTGTTATAAACTTTATTTATTTATATCGCGTACTATAATAAACTACCTAGAAATGCTTAATTTTTCTCGTTTTCTTAAACAAACAATGGTGTTTTTAAATATCGGCAACACCTCGTAACGGCATCTGCAACACATTTTATTAAACTTTAGGATATCTAGAATAATTACAGCCATCAAAGTCATCCACATGTTTCCACATCCGCTAAAAATTTACCTTTGAAAACAGACATTTTAGTGCGGTCTTATAAAATTTTTAGGTAGGTGGATATATTAGAGGAATATTTGGCTTGGTTTTCGTCAACTTTTTTCGAGTTTAATATTAAGATTTTTATTTAAAAAGCAAGAATTAATGTACCTATATAGATTTTCAAATGAATTAACAATGTAAATAAATTATGTCATTAGGTAAAAAAATCATGGTTAATGGTAAGTACAATTTGAAACAATTAAAAATACTATACCTAATTAGGGCTTAACTAGAGTGTTAAATAGGTATAAAATAAAGAATAATAATTTTTTTTACCATGCATTACTGCCAATCGGCCAATTGTCCGAAGAAGCAGCGGAAGCTAGGAACAAGCACTTCCGCGAATATAGGAAGAGTTTTTCTCGGAAGTTCTCTAGGGCACAATGCAATGAGGATGTGCAAAACCGACTTCTTTTAACTTCCGATCCTTATTTGAGCAGTTTAAGGCCGAAAAATAAAAAAGATAGGAAGGATTTTTCAAAGGAAGCTCTTCAATTTTTCATAATCAAAAACGATGATAGTGATGATGAATAATGAAAAATAAAATAATAAATGCATTTATTGATAGTTTATAGTTAATTATAGTTAGTTAATATATGTTTAATTGAATATTTTTATTGTGTTAATTGCACATAAGTAAAGTAGCTATTGTGTAATTTTTTAATACATTTTTGAACACACATATTTTTATTTTTAATAAAAAAATACCTACTATCACTTGTATACCTTTAGAAATATGTTTTTTAGTCATTTGCTACCCTTTTTAGGCAGAAAAAGTGCTCAAATATTTTTGGCCATGTTTTCGGTCCAAATACCTCTCTGTGCGTCGGTCATTATGATTCTGACAGTGTTGCCGTTTTAATTAAATAATGCCAATTACAAAGTGTCATTTAATTTTTAACTCGTGAGCGACCGAAACTTTTTTTTTATTTTGTGAACTACTATAAGTTTTACAAATTTGTAACTTTATTTTATTTTTGTCAGATTTATTATTTTATTTCTGGGACGTTTACTCTTGCGGGACATGTTCATAAAATCCGGGACAGTCCCGCAAAATCCGGGACGAATGGTCACTTTAGAGATACGTTTGGTTTTTGTACATACAGATCCTTTGTTGATTAAGTACATATATAAGGTATAACAACGCATAGGCATGATATAGTCGATAGTCGAACACAGATTATAAAACAAATATGGTTGATCTTCATGTATTTTTTACAGTGTTGCCGGATGAATGTCATAAAAGTTCCCTACCAAAAATTACAAAATAGGTACTAAAAAAACTAGTTATATTTTAAATTTACTAGCGAATTCGCCCTGTTTTAAAAAAAATAATTAAATTAATTTAAAATTTTTATATAAGTAAATAAAAATGTAACAGGATATCCTATATAGAATAAAATAATTATGCATTTTTAGTAAACATACAATATTATTTACTGAAAATATCTTCAGTTAGTATTTTGATCGAAATTTGCAAAATGTCCGATTTTACCCGCTTCAAAATTCTACCCGCAAACATAACGAAAATACCTACCCGATTTCCGAGTAAAATACCCGCAAACGGCAACACTTGGTAAGTAATGACAGGAGAGCTATCTTGAAAACGCGGGAAGATGCCATCACATGACAGATCAGCTGTGCTCTAATTGGTCAGCTGAGAAAATCGATATTGTGTCTAAAAAGTTCTTGGAAAAATGGTTAGATGAATATTTGCGTATAAAAAGAAACTATTAAACTTTTTCTATGCTATTAAAATAAAACAGTACAATGGCAACAATAAAAGCAAGTCAAGAGCATCGTATGTAAAAAATTATAATTTTTATAATTATTACACCTTTGATATGTTATTATATAGGTTATTATGCAATAAACTTGGCTTATTACCACCCCGGCTAAATGTTAATAAATACTTTTCTTTGTGCTTTATTTTATATTAATCAAATGCAACCTCTCTGAATAATTCCAGATATTTATTTTAATCGCTGTAGTTAGGTTCCTACCATTTCTCTGCTAAAAGTCTTAAAAAGTCTAATTAACTCTTCCAGAAGATTCCCAAATCTTGTTATTAGTCTGACTTAAATATTATTCGGACTTTTTAAGAGAAAGTAAGACTTTAAAAACTGTTATTATTACTTATTAAAACTTTTTCAGAGAAAAAATTCCACAAGGGATGTTTTAATTTAATTTTTTTTAAAACATATTAAGTACTCTTATTTATAAAAACCCTTTACAAAAACTAATTTGTAATTGCATCTTTTTTTAGCTCAAAGTGAAGAAGATATGTCGGAACCGATTAAAGAATGTGAATATGTCAATAAAGAGTACAACGTAAAACTAAGTGAAACGTGTGTATCGTTTAAGAGAGGCCAACATTTTAGGGATTCCGGATGTTACGATGCGAGCGTGAAGAATGCGACTTTGCATCAGAGTTCGTCTCAAGTGGAATCGGACTTAAGTGATAATAATGTAGCATATTGTGATAAAAATAATTTAGATTTAGTAGTAAAACAATGCAATAATGAAATTTTAGCTAGAGTAAAGCGTAATCAAAACTCCCATCCCCTTGAAGATGAGCTAAGCACATCGAGTATTAAATATTCCACAAGTACTATAGACATACACAAAAAGTATAATGTTAGCGAAAACGTAGCAGTAGAGTCTTGTCAAAAAAACGTACTAAATAAACCAATCAATCAAAAGACTAACGAAACCGAACAAAACATATCTTTGGTTAAACCTCTGGAATCAAATATTCTTGCCAAACATTGCCTCAGTGAAAATTCTAGTGATTCAGGGGTCAGCAGCAGCTCATTCACTTCGGGTAATATCAAAGACTTTCGACAAACCGTCCTATCTCAGCATTTAGTACACAATTCCCTGAGAAGGGAAGCTTTCAACAGTGCCAATTACTTGTCCACGACTGCTAATCGCGAAAAATAACGAAAATAATGATTTCCTAGATCAGCTTTATATACGTTTATACTTAATTATTATACTACTATTAAATACATAGCGTTTCATATAAAAACCATGCAAACGAAGAACTCCAAATTTTAAAGACTACTCTAAAAAGGTTTAGTCTTTTTTGTAGTCTTAACCTTTTACAGTATATGGCATTCCACGCCAAATCGGATGGTTTAAAAATATTTTTTTTTTGATTTCTCCAATTTTTTTATATTTTTTAGTACTCCTTGAAAGAGCTTTCTCAGTAAATTTTGAGATTTTTTTGATCACGGGTTCAAAATATATCAAATTTTCAATAAACTGCTTTTTTTTGTTTTTAGCTCATAAATTCTTAAAAAAGGTCCAAATCAAAATGTTTATTAATGAATTCTATAAAAAAAGTTCGTTTTTAAATGTACAGGGTGATCCCCTATAATGTCGCCCCCCTTTAACTTTTTTATTTTAAGTGTCCCAAAAAATTTAAAAGTGTGGTTATGTAGGTACTAAAAAATACGTTTTTTTCTACTTATAAAAAAAATTGGAAAATTGTTCAGTATACAGGGAAAAACAAAAGTTTATTTTTTTTCAATGGATCACCTTATATATGTATTTATTTTTCGTTTCCTTGTAAAATTCTAAGCATATTTCATATAACATACCATATACCTAAATTCAACCGTTTCTCAATTATTTAAATTATTTTTAAGATAATAAGTTGACACTAGTTTGTCTTTCTCTGTCTGAGTACGTCATTTTTACCTATTTAACAATACATATTGACATAATGTCACTATAGTAATTTATTTTCAATAAAAATTTTGGTATACTGAGGCTTTTTGATTTCTAACAGTTTAAAAAAACATATAATGATAACATTTCGAATGCGAATATTTCGGAAACGGTTGAATTTAGGTATATATATGGTTTGTTATATGAATTATGCTCAGAATTTTACAAGGAAAATAAATTTATATATAGGGTGATCCATTGAAAAAAATAAACTTTTTGTTTTCCCTGTATATTAATCAATTTTCAATTTTTTTTACATACAAAAAAAGTATTTTTTAGTACCTACATAACCACACTTTTAAATTTTTTGGGGCACTTAAAATAAAAAAGTTAAAGGGGGGCGACATTATATCACCCTGTACTTTTCGAAAAAATATATATTGAAAATATTTGTTTAAGTCAAGATTTTTGAGTTTTAAAGTTTAAATCGTGTTTTTAAAAATGTGTGTCTTCTTCAAATTTCGCGAAATTTTTTTATTTTCAACTACTATCCAATCAACAACTATTCAGTCTGGTCCGGTAGTGGGCCTTCCATAATTACTATTTTTTTCGATTTTTCAAAATTAAAAAAAAATTCTCTAAAAATTATTATAAGTTTAGAAAAAAAAATAGTAATTATGGAAGGCCCACTACCGGACCAGGCTAAATAGTTGTTGACTTAAAACGCTTCAAATATTTCAATATATTTTTTTCGAAAAGTACATTTAAAAACGAAAATTTTATATAGAATGAACATTTTGATTTGGACCATTTTTTAAGAAGTTATGAGCGCAGTTTTTTGAAGATTTTATACCTTTTTAACCCGTGATCAAAAAAATCTCAAAATTACTGAGAAAGCTCTTTCAAGAAGTACTAAAAAATATAAAAAAATTGGAGGAATCAAAAAAAATTTTTTGAAACCATCCGATTTGGCGTGGAATGCCCCATATATAACGGTAAAATGTTTGTCTACCACAATTGAATAGACAACAAAGGTGTGTCATTTTAAACAAAGATAGTCGCCAAATAGATAATAAAAAATATTTATATAGATTTTAAGATTATCCTTATAGTCCAGCTATGATAGGAAATTGGTTTCGAATATATTGCAATGAAACATTAGTTTATTGAATCAAATAACTGCTTTATTGCGACATAAAAAATCAAATTAGGATGTACAAAAAATGTAATTGGAATGTATAAATATTTAAATAAATTTTATAAATAATGTACAAAAGTTTATTTAAGTTAAACTAGTCTTTTTTTCTGCATTAAGTCATGTTTTTATTTTATTTTTTTACCTTTATCTTTTTATATAAAAAGGGCCTTAGTGCAATTAGTATTTTTATTTTAAATTATTGGCATTTATTAAATATAATTATATAAAAAATTTAACAAAAATTTCATATTACTAAAAAAATTAATCATCAAGGCTTTTTTCTATTGAAAGTCATCCATAAATTACGTCACTTAGATATGGGAAAAACACAAGTTTTACTCTACAACTACAACAAAGCAATATTTTTATCTGTCTGGATAAATTGGATAATATTTTAAAATTGGGGTCAACATGACCAAAAATTATTGCCATGTACTTCATGGATGACTTTATAAATCGCAGGTAATATTGTAGATCTTTCAGGAAATAGGAATGTTACCTGTAGCTTAATAAATTAGATCTTTATTAGTTTATCTATTTTATTTTTATGCATATATAATTATTACCATATATAGAACATTATCCATGCCCACGGCGTTCTCTATACCTTTAGAGAACGCCGCGGCGTGTCCAATGGACACTGTCCATGCCCATTAGGTCTATAGTTTAGACGGCTTTATTAGCTAAGATGCCATAGAAGAAGATATTCTAATATTAAAAATATTAAAATAATAAATAAGTATTCTGCCATGCTAAGCTAAACCCCCGTATCTGCAATATTAGGTAATAAATGACTAAAGATGTTTATTGTTTTAACAATAAAAGTGATATTTTGTCCTTTATTAAATGTACCTATTTAATATTATTTTGGGAATACCGCAACCAAGGTATAAATAACCAATATATATATTTATTAACAAAAAAATGTTTTTTCGATGGCGCTTAACCCTGCCTAAATGACGATACTTTTCCCATAACATTTAATACCAAATTTTGTTCATTCTGCTTCTATTATGATCCCTTTTAATAAAGAAATTTTGATATTGGCGTCAAAAGTTTATTTCGTAAATTTTGAAAAGGTCAAAAGTCATTTTTACCGTTTAAATACAGAATAAATATTGAATAGTCGGCAAATTAAACAGTTATTGAAACAATTGTTTCAATAACTGTTTAATTTGCCGACTATTCAATATTTATTCTGTATTTAATGATAAATTTTATTTTATACGCTTTTAATATTTACTTTAGAAAGATTGTAAATTATAAATCATTAATAGTTCATTTTAAATTACCTTGTACGGTTCTTTTAATTGTACAAGTATTTGTATTATCGAACTTCATTTTTAACAAACAGACAGCAAACGTTTTAACGAGAATACAATTCGTTATAATTAAAACCAATAAAATGCGACTATTCCATAGTTACGCATTTTGTCACAACGACAATATTTTTTATCACCTTGTTTACACGTTGCTAAGGATTTTGACACTTTTCCCATAGAGCACAAAGTCGTTTATATGGTGTCCATAGGACATCCATCTCTGTACAAATGGATATCCATAGTATGTCCAAGAATATTATATGGACGTTCCATGTACGTACATATAACGTAACTTTGGCACACTATATAGGATGTCCATGTTATGTAATAAATGTACATACAATGTACATTGGAAGTGGACTTCCATATGATGTCAAAATGAACCTAGGAACGAAAATTGTAGAAAAATTTTGGTTTACTCGTTTATTCTGAGTTATGTATACATTTGTTTATTCTTATCAAAGTACAAACATATAGGTAGGGTTTAGGATAAAAAAGGTTTAGACAGTGGCGGCTGGTGGGTTTTGGGTATACCAATATCTCAGTTATTAGACATGGGGGCCCATATAAAACATATATGAGTTTATAATGACATTGAATAGGCAATTTCTGCGCAAGCATAATTTAAAAAAAGTTAGTAAGTAAGTCTTGGATTTTTTAAATAATTTTTTAATTTTGTCGATAAACTTTCGTGAATTCCCTGCTTAAAATACCCCATAGAGACCTATACAAAATAATCTATCGGGCGCTACCGGATTCAATATGTGCATTTGTCCATGGTTTTTTTATACGGCCCGATAGAAAATTTATAGGAAAGTACCTATAGGTACACCATAACTTTTACATTTTCCTATTGAGACCAATAGCAAATAACTCAATGAAGGATATATAGAGATATCCCTATAGAGCAACCATAAAACATTTGTCAAAATTTTATTAAAACTTATAGGGTTCTATGGGGGAAAAACTAATTTTTACATTTATGTGTATTTTCCCCATTAAAACCAATAGCAAATAAATCAAGGGTGGATATCCCTATAGAACAACCATAAATCCCAACTATGGGTCCTATACATAGTATGTATTACATACCGATACACGCTATAGAAACAAATATCTATCGGTTTGAACAGGGTCTCTATGGGGTATTTTAAGCAGGGTTATGAATTGCACCACTTTATTTTGAATAATTTTAATTTTGGGGGTAGGTCGCACGGCGTGAGAACGCACACGTGTAATCGATTTCACACGCATATGAGTGGTCTAGCAGTGCGCGCCCATGCGATGAGCGCAGTATGAGCGCACGACGTGATCAATGATCTCTTAAACTGTGCTTATCGGCAGTGAAGCCAGATTCTATAAAAAAAACAGTCGATTTTGTTTTTATTCACCGTATAATTACTAATAATGAAATAAAGTAAAATTGCAATTTGCATTGTTTCACTAGGAAAGTTCAATTAAAATGACATGCATCAACTGCAATCGAGTTGTGTTTGTATTGTATTTATTTTTCTATTGTGTTTGTTGTGTCCACGTGTTATTATAGTTAGGTATAAATTTATAAAAGTTATTAAGGATTTCAGGTAAGTGTGAAAAATATAAAGATTAAATCATAACAAACATTTTCCTATCATAATTGATTATTTTTCTTGGGATTTCACAATAATTTATATTATGAACCTGAAACCTTAAAACTTCAGTCCGTCATCCAATGGCCAACTCCTCGGAACGCGTCATGCACAAACTGTCTCGGCTGAACCTGAAACATCCCCGGTGTGAGGATTATCCAAAATATAGGTATTACAGCATACTGTGTTTTTAACCCTGTAAGAACCCTCAAAAAGTAGCATGAATTTTTTTGTTCATTTGTCCAGTGCGGAGGACGTAGGGTTTGCCTTAAGCAACACCAAGTCGCCAATCTCAAACTTAATGATACGGTGACC